GATGGCCACCAGGGGGATCCTATGAAAGGCCAGCATAGTCCTCAAGCTACTAGAAGACATCAACTGGAGATGAAAGAGAGAGCTATTGCTCTTTAGTAAATCCTACAGCTTTAAAGCGAGCATCGTCATCATCAGCTGATGACTTTACAGCCATTAACCAATGCTAAGCATCAGCTGCAGTCATGTTAACGACACTGCCAGGTTTGGTCTCAGGTCAGGTATCTCAGTTCTTCTTCCTGAGCTCTTCAGAACACTAAACCAGTGGCACTCAATAAGAGACCTGCCTCCTCTATCTGGCCCTCTGGTCCTCTTATCTGGCCCTCTGGTCCTCTATTTGGCCCTCGGACAACCTTGATAAATAGAAGATGTCAGATCTTTTTTTTTTTTCATCAAATTCGTGTCTGACACATCCTGCCGTCCTCCATTAACAACATTCCTTAGGACTCCGATCCTCTCTCTTGTGTGAACAGACAATCTGCCCCCCCCCCACCACCCCACCACCACCACTGATCGAGCGAGCGAGCGGAGGGCCGCGCGTGACAACCTGCTCAATTAACATAATTCATGGCCCATATCCAACAGAACCGGTCAGGCTGATTCGGTTCAGGTTCGGTCTCAGGTTATAACTCCAGCGTTCAGCCCTGCAGAACCACATAAAGGACCAAAGTTTCCTACCCGGTAAACGTGGAGAACACCCGCTCTGCCATGTGGATGCTACGCTGGTGCTGGCATTAAAATAATAAAACTACATTCCACTATAATCGATCATGGCTACTCTTCTGTGATGCAGAATCATTTGTGTCCGGATCTCATGCATCGATTATTTTCCTCGGCTCTATCCTACACCTCCCGGTCGGTTGTCAGGGGTGTGCGCGGGGTCCAGGGGCCACCTATTGAGTACCACTGCTCTAGGCTGTAGTTTTATTCACTGTAAATATTTACTGTAAACCATGTTGGCGTTAGCCTCTCCCCATCTGGGAACACACTGTTGGGTAAAGGAACTGTTGAAGTAAAGTGCAATACCATTCACAATTAAGGAGAAGGCCACTGGCAACCTCAGTCATGTTTTCATGAAATGAGACACTGTCATTCTGGATGAACTTAGCTGAAATGTTCAAATATTTTTGTTTGGAGTGAATGCAGAACATCACATGGCATGTGATGCAGTGATTTTGTCATAAACCTGTCTTACTTTGTCCAGATAAAGAGTTCAGACATTATTTCTGAAGTTTTTCCCTTTCAAAGTCAGGGAGATAGGTATAATAAAGGGTTGTGGAAAGAAACGCCTCAGAGACCACGACCAAACAGCAGCAGTGACGTTTCTTGTCATGTGACATAAAACGTTGATGGATAACCAAGAAAGCAATTTCCCAAGCAAACATTGTCTAGAAAATCAGCACCGTGTTAATGTTTGTGTCAAGGCCAGTTACCTGATTGCTGCTGATGTTGACAAGACACGGATGCTTCTGAATTCCACTAACCTTCAAACATTGTCTCATTACTAGCATGACCAAACAGGCTGGCTTTAAAACAGGCAGGATGTCTTTGTTTACCTCTAGTAGGAACCATGTCTGCAGAGGGAGAGGTGGTCGCTTCTCCCTAGCAGAATCACAAAAGAACAGGTCAACTCATCAATGCATCCTTTAGCTCTCAGGTGTTTTTCTTCAGTTATTAAAGAACATTACTATTCACTTTGGTCCCGGTACTGCTGCACATCGGGTACAACCATCACTGGTTACCAGAGTTTGACCCTTTCTGCTGGGGTGCTGCGTTATGGAAATTTCTGACTCTTATCAAGATAATTTTGCCCACGTCAATAAATTTGATAATAAAAATGAAAAGACGTGTGCAGGTTGGTAACAATTATGTCCCTTTAAGAAGCTGTACCACCTTGAGTCACGTAAAAATGTGACTCAACGTGATACATGTTACAGCTCCATCTAGTGGACAACTTTTGTCTCTGCACATACGTGTAGTTATCATCCACTTATCGCTATCAGGTGAAATCCTCAATATATCGTGATATTGATTTGAGGCCATGGCCCTAATAGAGGGGAAATTTCATCATACTGCAGTAAGGTGCATGTTATAAACATGCATCCTTTATCCTCTGATCTGTAGTGTGTGTGTGTGTGTGTGTGTGTGTGTGTGTGTGTGTGTGTGTGTGTGTGTGTGTGTGTGTGTGTGTGTGTGTGTGTGTGTGTGGTGAACGTGTTCTACCAAGCTGATGATCAGCCAGTAACAGCATCGAATAATAAAATATATCTCAGAGATTTTCAGGTGTGTGTTTCTGTTGTAGTTCTCACATGTGTTCCATCGGGGGCTGATCGTTTAGGATTGTTTTGTATTTAGTCATGATTACTTGCTCCGTAAATACTGTATGATTGTGAAGAGGTGCCACTTACCTGGCCGGTCAAGCACCAGTTTAAAACGTGAAACATGGCAGCACCTAGAAACAGGATTGTATGGCTTCAGCTCGACTAAACAGGAGAGTGAGACACTTGTATATCGGTTACAGTTCTTTCAGCTTCAAGTGGTCATAACAAAGTGTCCTGCTGTTGTGTTCACCCATCAGAAGGGACGTTACTCTGACATGATGAAGTATTATATTTAGTTTAGCTGCTCATTGCATAGGTCCACTTGTCTCCATGTTTGACCTCATCTCACGAGAAGCAGATGTAATCCTGAAGCTGTGTTGTCTAATCAACCCCCTGATTATCTCTGAGGTGTATGAGTGTCCATGTGAGTGAACCCCATCACTCCACATCGAATGCACGATAAAGGACAAGGATACGGTGTCACAGGCGGCCAACAGGAGGAATTAATTATTGATGCTCTCAAAGCACGCAGCGTCACAGGTCTCCATTGTTACCTCTGATGTTGTTTGTAGCACCTAGAAGGATACACACAATGGAGAGGAGTGCGTGTGTGTGCGTGCGTGAGAGAGACTCTTTAAAATCTCATTTATTTCTTCTATCTATCTATCTATCTATCTATCTATCTATCTATCTATCTATCTATCTATCTATCTATCTATCTATCTATCTATCTATCTATCTATCTATCTATCTATCTATCTATCTATCTATCTATCTATCTATCTATCATCTATCTATCTATCTATCATCTATCTATCTATCTATCTATCTATCTATCCTATACGTCTGTCTGTCTGTATTTTATCCCATAGATGATACAAACACCAAAACCTTTGCAATAAAACTTTTTCCACCTCCATTCTTGAGGCTGTACTCCTGGGGGAAATGTAGCTGAACTCTAAAGAAGCAGCTGAGGTAGTTTTTGCAGTAGAGTTATCAGCTGGTCAGTTTGTGCGCGCTGATCTGGAGATAAACATTTAAGAATGCTTGAAACCCCCCCCACCCCACCCACCCCCCCGGCACCACACACACACACACACTTCCATCCTTCCTGCCAACGGAGTGGTTTCACAGCCGTGGGTGCGATGGTGCCTTGGCCATGCGTGAACTGATGCTGATGACATTCATATGTAGCCGCGATGCCTGAATGGCTTCAGATGCCCCTGGGGGTTGAGCAGGGAGGTTTTAGGATGCATAAGGGCACAGGGACATTTGAACAGAGTTGGGATCACATTTTATCGCCTTTTCTCATTTTTGGGGGCATTATGAGGGAACACAACTGAACGTGGTGACTGTGTTAGATAGATTTTATGGAAAATCTTTGATTAGCACCAGTAGGCTCATGAGGAACTGAAGCTCCTTAGAGAAACTGAGATTAGTTCTGACTCGAACAATAAGCTACCGTTGTTTAGGTAGCTGAGCTCTGCACCAGGTCCTGTTCCACCACACCTGTCAGGTGGAACAGCGGTGGAGTGTTCATCATAGCATGTCTCATCAGAGAAAGCTCCTGATCCGGTGCTGCTGCTGTGTTTTATAGAGTAGCAGTGTTCATGTGTGTGTGTGTGTGTGTGTGTGTGTGTGTGTGTGTGTGAGAGAGACAGAGAGAGAGAGAGAGAGAGAGAGAGAGAGAGAGAGAGAGAGAGAGAGAGAGAGAGAGAGAGAGAGAGAGAGAGAGAGAGAGAGAGAGAGAGAGAGAGAGAGAGATGGGAACACCTGAACGGGTTGCTGCAGGACATCAGTCTCTGTGTCTGGTGTGACGTTGCACTTGCAGCAGCGTGATAACTGATGGATGCACATGAAGTAAGGAGAGGGTTTGACAGACGTACACGGTGCTGTGAATGCAGACATTTTGCTGGGGTTCCCTGATAACCCTTCACTGTTGCATTTCAGCACGCCCCTGCAGCAGTCCCCGCTGCTGGGGGTGGTCACTACCATGGCATGTGTACGCTGGTGGTGTGAAATATTCACTCCCCACACCCACCCCGTCTGAACTCCGGGGACAGATAAAGGATCAGAACATCCTTCTGGGTCCGCCTCCCTAAAGCCTGCCTGTGCTCTCCTATCCAAGTGTCTCCGAGCCCTACACCGCCACCATGCGTTCAAAGGGGGTACCGCTAGTGTCACCCCACACGCACGCGCACACACACGCACTCTACCAATTCAACATTGGTTTTATTTTAATGTTATTATTTAAACTCACCTGTGATGCAGGTGTTAATCAGCACTCTGAGCTGAAAATGGTCGTCCGTCCGAATGTGTGTGTGTGTGTGTGCGCGCGCGCGCGCCGGTGGGAGGCAGATTTAGGACAGATGAATGTGCGCAGCTTGACAAAATAAATCAGCGGACTAAATACGCGAGGAGCTAATGAACGGACGGCATGCGCGCGAACTTGACGCTTGCGCACACACACACAATTACACATGCACGCGCACACTCCTGAGTGCGATAGCGGGCTCTCTGACGACAGCCAGTCACAGGCTGAGGAGGAGAGACCGCATCAGCACGGAGCCGCGCGCTCACAGAGGGAGCTGCGCGTGGGAGTTCTCCTCCGTCTCCACCTGACATCCGCATCTTTCTCCTCCTAAAACCGCACCGGACAAGTTCTGGGTGCATCTGGGGAGTCCCAGCACCGGGGCGGGGAGCGTCGGTTCGGTTTCCTTTTGTCCTTCTGGAGGTCGGAACTCAGCACCAGGCGGCGGACTGGAACCGGTTCTGCGTTCGTTCTGGGTTTTATGAGCTGTCTGTCAGAACCGAGGGATGGACCTGAGGTAGTCCGTCTCTGTGTGAGCGTTGCTGGCTGGGAGTTGCAGCACGGAGAGATGCGAGCGCGCGCTTGGACGCTGTGAAGGCGGCAGCAGGTAAAGATCAGTCCGATCATTACATATTGTTCTGCTGGTTGTCTTTCTCAGCAGCTTCCTGTCAGTGCGGGTTATTGTGGCGGGGGGCCAAACAGGAGGGGGAGAGGTATCCATCATCTCTCTCTCACACACACACTCTCTGGGGGATGCGCGCGTGCTTTCACCCCTTTAAACTGATCTAAATGTCAAATCACACCAAAGAGATCTCCGCGTCGGTCAGGATAGGACCCAGAATCACGGAGACAGGGCAGACTGAGCGGTTAGGCGCGTCCTCTGCAGGTGTAAACACACACACACACACACACACACACACACACACACACACACACACACACACACACACACACACACACACACACACACACACACACACACACACACACAGAGCCTCGTTCTCATAGACAATTAAATATGATTTATGTTTTTAATCTGCACTCTCATCCATCAGTGGGAATACAAATTAGCTGTGCGCGCACGCACGCATGGTGGTGGTGGTGGTGGTGTGTGTGTGTGTGTGTGTGTGTGTGGGGGGGGGGTGTTAAGAATTTTACCTTATTCCAGCCTTTTCTTGCTCTGCTGAGGTAACATTCCTCATGTTGAAAGGCAGTGCTGATATTTTATTCATCTGTGGGACTGCTTGTCCCTTCAGCGGGCGGCTCAGAGAAATCCTCAGAATTCTGCAGAATTTTCCTCCTCAGAAACAACTTGGTACTCTTTGTTTTGCGCCAGCGACAGTCAGAGGTCTATATTTAGCCCCAACTGCGACAGTAAGGGACGAAACTTTAGCATTTCTGGAGCCACGCTCCGTCTGTTGTTTTGTTAGTCAGTACCCCCCTCCACACACACACACACACACACACACACACACACACACACACACACACACACACACACACACACACACACACACACACACACACACACACACACACACACACACACACCTTGCTGACAAATGGAAAAATCCTCCATGTTTGCAGTGTTGTGATATTCTGGGGTATGAAGCAGGCAGAGCGGCGTGCGGCAGAGCCCTGCGGGTGTGTGAGGCTGTGCCTGTGGTTATTCATAAAGTGCTGTAGCTTTATATGTTATAAATAACTGAAGGCTGGCAGCCTCTCTGCATGGATCTAGTCCCACAATCCACTACAGTCGATGGATTATACTCTCAGCCGCCACACCAGCACGGCCAAAGGGTGTGGCCCGCTGGACTTCACCGGCTGGGTTTGGTGCTTTTTTACTGCTTGCCTTTATTAAGTGTGGCTGTTTCCACACGCTCCAGCTGCCTTCATTAGATTAACGTGCAGCTGCTGACCTTGGGCGCCTACAGTCACCAATGGGCTTCACCTTTGTGCCCTGCAGTAGGCCGTGGCATATTGCACATTGTCCCTCCCATCCTACGGCTGCGTGCCGTTGTCGACATCCCATATTGAATTACAGCTCACTGATCAATGTTTGCAATAACCCAAACCTCTACATAGTGGTGAATTTAGCACAGAGCTTCAGATATCACAGGAAACCAGAGCTCCTTCACAGCAGTTTCAGGGAGGTTTGCTTAGATATGAGTGTTTGTAATCTAATCACACGGAATAGAGAAGCAAAACAATAAGATCAGGCCAAGGGTGTGCGCCGCATTCATAATTCATGGCAGAAGTCAGCTTGAGCACGGGTTTGACAGGAGACCCGAGCAGTCGAGACAGAGTGGGTGGTGACGGCGTTGGAGACTGATCACACGATTGCTTCCCTCACAGCTCACTAAATGACCAGCAGTGTTATTAGAGAGCGGCTAATGACGTGTCCTCATGTCTCCTGGAGACGCACTCATCCTGGGTGTAAAACTGACACCTCCTGCATTGACAAGGTGTTTATTAGCTCCCAGTTGTGAGGCTGCAACGTCTACATAATGTTACGACGACACAGCAGAGCGGCTTTTCATGCGGGACACCAATTATGTTGTTTGGACAAAGCCCAGGTGCCATTCCACTTGATGCCACCATCTTGATGCAGCGATGCCCCAGCCTGGATGGCATCTGTGTGAGCGGCCTGCAGCCGGAGGGAAGGGGGGAGGCCTGGTTGGCTGTTGTCCTTGGTAGGACAGCTGATTGTCTTGTCAGAAGACGTCTCCATACTCAGGCTTTATTTTGCTGTTCCAGCAGCATGTCACTTTACTGTTAGAGTTCCAGGGAGAGACAGGCCAGAGTCATGCTGCCCTGTGTACCGAAGGCAGCCGTAACACGTCCTGCAGAGCTTCCTGTAGCAACGGCATCTCTGTGCGGATGCCCTGTTGAGTGCTCTGCCACACAGGCAAGCTAACCTTTAGGGCTTCAAACTGGCCAAGCGTCCTGTAGTAGGTCCCTCCAGGTGTCCAACTGTCCACTACTGTGAGACGGACTCCAACCCTGCACTTGGCCTGAACACCGTCCCTGCACAATTTATTATTTCAGAAACCAATTTTGTAATTAGAACTCTCCCTGGCCTTAATCTTTTCATATCAGACACGTTAGCGTAAGTGAAGTAGACTCTAATCCAGGAAGTGCTGCAGACGGGTCTCTGTGTGAAAACACGTGCTTTACTTTTAATATACGGGACTCCTTCTTCAGGGGGAATCATGTCAAAAGCAGCAAAACAGAGAAAACAAGTTCAGAAACAAGCAGACTGCCTGTGAGGTCGTCTAGATGTGTATCTCGTACCTCACGTATGTCCTTCTGTAAAGCAGGAGGGAGGCTTCCAACAGAACACAAGACGATCGAGCTGCAGTAACCCTGCTTGGGAGGCTCAGCAGCTCCTTTATGGAAGTGGCAGCCTCTACAGACCATAATAATAATAATAATACTTTCGGCAGTGCCTTACCAGATGTGTGCTAGTTTCTAAATACTGCCCCCTGCTGTTAAGGAGGAGAACTGCAGTGAGGATTGCTGTAAAGACTCTGACACAAGTCAGTGACTCGATGCAACCTGCTGGGTTCCTTATATAGGAAACTTCTTACTGATTGGCTTAATGACCTGACCTGTGTTGGAATGTTTACTGCGTGAAGGTCCTTGAGACGACTCTGGTCCTGATTTGGCGCTTTATAAATGAACTTGGATTGAATCTCTAAGCTTCTCTCAGAATGTGCTAGCCTAGCAAACTAGACCACAGTTTGGTTTAGCAACGCTCCACTGGGATCTCCACGGCCCCTAGCAGCATCCTGGCTGGCCAATCACAGATCTCTAGAGGGGTTTCAGACACATAGAGAGCTGTGATTGGTCCACAGTGGTGGGCCAATCACAGTGCTTTATCCACTTTGTGGGCCAATCAGGGCCCTCTACTCGTCTGGTGGGCGGGATGGTGCAACAGAGTGGAACTAGATGGCGACAGCTCGTTTGAAACAGCTTTTATGTGAATTTGGACTATTAGGACTTGTGTTTTATTAGAATCAGGAGCAGATAGATGTATTTAAGTCCTTGTTTTAGAGAAAATGATTTATTTCACCTTCTTCAACAAGGAACCGCCTCGTTTACCGACATCCATTGTGGGCAGTACGTCACGTTGTTCATTGTCCAGTAGCAGAAACGGTAGAACCCGCCCCACCACCGAGAGTCGTCAGTGGAGCGCTTCCAGACTAAATAATACTTTGTTTAGTCTGGCTTGCCAGGCTAAGAACGTGGTGCTCAAAAGAAATGTTGACATAAAATGTGTAGAAATAAAATAAACACTGTAACTGACTTTACTCTGATGGATAACCAAAGTATGGAGTGGTTCTTGTAACAGGGACGTGTGAGAAGCCCCGTGTGAACTGGTTGGTGGGTGGTTTCTGCTGCTCCAGCAGCACCGCAGGACCAGTAGCAGCACGGAGAGGGTGTTTGACTCAAGGTAGCGCAAACAAATATCGTCCTTTTGGGGCAGAGCCTAGACCACTACGGGTGTTTCAGGACCCAACTACCAGCCTGGGTTTTAGTTAGGTGTGTAGCCCCTTTGGACCACAGTAGGTGGTGCGTGCAGAGCATAGCACTGAGGTGTTACTCTGTAGACCTGAACTACATCAGAAGAAGCTCCAGTTGCTGTCCTCCTGATGCTGTAGCGTAGGGTTAGGACCCTACTGACAGTACTGACAGTGTTCTTGGTCATCTGGCATTCAGCTGTTGCTTGAGAAGTCCATCAACAGAGTAAGTCCAGAATCGTTCCACTCCGCTACACCAGGTGGCGACATGTGCTCTTTCGTATCGACATACTTCTGGTTAGCCTTAGCGACACAAATGGTAAACAGGATATGCACATTGGCTGACGGAATGGACAGCAGCGCTGCAGCACAGCTGATTTGCTACGGCCTGCCCTGGACTGATGGTGTTACACGCCCTACTTTGTGGTGATGATGTTATCAGAAGGGTCACTTCTGGAACCAGCTGGACTGACCCGTTTACATGCAGAGGAAGTCGGGTTGCTACTGCTTTATCTGGGTGCTTCATCTGGATTAGAACGGTTCAGCCAGACTAGCTCGTGCTTTAAAGCAACAACGGCGTCTATGTAAGGCAATAGTTTGGTTTTGTGATGATGCGTGTGAACACACCTGTGCTGGATAAGCTCCAGGTTAAAGACAGATGCTGGCTTCAAGTCCAGGCTCAAGACCCGCCTATTTAGGTTCACTTTTATCTAATTATTTACTATAGTTTTGTTTCTCGTTTTACATGATCATTATTACTGGCTTTGCATGTTTTATATGATTATATTTTAGCAAAGTTTCATTATTTATAGGGACATTATGGAAGTTTGACAGCCAAAACATGTATAGAAATAATAAATTTCTTCTTCATACATTCTCCTGCAATGCCCTGGTCCTGTAGAATGAGCCCTGGCATTTTTACTGTGATTGCCTGTTTTTCTGTAAAATCACAGAAAAAGAGAGCTGCTCAGGTCGAGCAGGCTGCTTCATGCGCGTTCACGCTCAGGCATCGCCCGTAGCATTTGCTATCCGTAGCTTTAGCAGCAGAGAGAGAGGTAGTGCCAACTCAGCAAATTTGTCGCTG